CCAGGCACTCGCCACGCCGGGGCCCCGCACAGGGGCCAAAACAGACACCCAACCTGTCAACTTTCGCCTGTCCGCGGTGCTTCTGCCACACCGACATAGATGCACACGCTAGTGTGGCTCCAGTCTTTTTGTGTCCAATCTAAGTGGCACGCCAAATAATGTTTTCGCCTCTTCATTTTGGGTTTCCAGGTGTCAGCCGATAGGGTAAAGCGACAGCCGCTGTCTCGTGCTGCCCGGATCATCGACAAAACCTTCTCTCGCAAGTCTTGCATGACAGCTTTGAATTCCAAATCCAAGGCATGCTTCCCACCAAGGCCCGGCAAGCGAGGGGACAAAAAAGCCTTGACATAGCGATTGTGCACAAGACGAAAAGGAAGCAGGCAGCCTAGCACCAAGTAGATCACCCACTCTCTCATCAGTTGCAGGTCGACCTTCTTGGCGCTTTTTGAAGGTGTGCTCCTCTCGGTGGAAACCGTTTCTGGTAGAGCATCTTCATGGCAGTCTCGCATGTGGTTCACCATGGCACTGGTGCTGGCGAAGCCGCAAGCTCCTTTCCAGTGTCGGCGTGGTTTGCCACCACGATCGATCACATTCTGTACTTCTTCTAGACTTGGCTCAACTGCGTTGCACCTTCTACAAAACCGCACAGGCACTCCTGGTCTTGCCGGCCAGAATTCCCTGTGCACCCAGCTTCTTTCTGCGGCAGCAGGCATTTGTAGCACATGGGGTCAAAAAACATCTACATTACTGGACAGCTCTCGAGCTCCTAAAATCAACGGCACAAGAGTGTTCATGTTCCTCTAGTCCGTGCAACCAAATGTAAGTAACCAAGCATCACAAGTCTAGTAAGGCTAACGCAAGGCTTGGAATGTGCAATGTGCATTTACCAACTGCTGCAAAAAGCATATTGAAAAAATGCATCCCTTCGACACAACTACAATGCAGTCTAGCATGTCTGACAAGAAGCGTACACACTGACAAAGCTCAAGAAGCTCAAGAAGCGTGCTCACTACAAATGCAATCTAGCACATTTTCAAGCTCAAGAGCATCATCTTGACACAAATCCCTACAACAATGCGTAGCATTGACACCCTAGGCCATCGACCCAAAAACCGCCCTCACTGTGTTCTCGGCTTCTTGCAAACATGGCCAGCCGCAACCTCCTCCACTGTCTGCAGAGTTTGAAGGTCTTTCTCAGTCAAAGTCTTCTTCCCACGGTGAGCGGCGAGCACATTGCCCTGCACCAGCCTCTGAACCACGTATGCTTCAGCGGCATGAGAGAGGACGGCTAGAGCTGCCGCGGAGATCTTGAGCTCAGCCAAGGAGTTTTCCTTGCACGGAAACCATGGGTCTCTCTGACTGTTGCGCTCCTTGACGATGGTCTGCAAGATCTCTTTGGTCAAGCGACACATGGAAGTCTTCGTCAAGCAAGCAACATCAGGGCGGCTCTGCAAATATTGAATCTGCTGGTCCGCCTGCGCCATGTGCAGGGCAACTCCAAAATGCATTTTTCCGATTCGCAAAAAGCATTTAAGCACTCAGAACAGAAGGCGGCCCATCATAAACACCTTTAGGACTTTAGGCAGCCAAATATGCATTTGCATCAAGCAGAAAAAAGCATATTCAACCCCCACCTGACGACACTGGCCACTTTTGCCTGTGCCCTGCACAGCCACAGCTGTGCCCTTACGAGGTCTTCCGCTCTTCCGCTCTGCTTGCTCGTGCGGTTGCGCTGCTGCAGGGCTGAACGCTGCAGGTCTGAACAGGAACAGCCCCACACAAAGCTGCACACGAGCCAAGCGCAGCTGCTCTGGCATCATGTACGAAGGCACCATGAGGGACATCGTGTCGACAACAAGTAAGTCAAGACAACCTCTGAGCCATGAGAAGCTGAGGAAAAGACAGCTGTTTGTGAATATGCTTTTTCCAGGCGGTCTAGAAAGCATATTGGACAGGAAATCTACCAAGTAGATCTTGATTTGCTATGACATGTCACATCACATCATGTCTTGTTTTGTCTTCTCTGGTCTTGTTTGTCTTATCTATTTCTTGTCTTGTCTCACAGGGTAACTTATCCCTTACCGAACCGAAACGAACCGTGAACCGAACCGAAAATGCATGAACAAAAGCTTCCTCAACCAAACCGAACCGATTCGAAGATTCAATTAAACATTCAAACCGATTCCAACCGAACCGAAACCTCACTGAATCAAGTGCATGAAACTCTGACAAGTGAAATACTCCATCAAAACAGCTGGTACGATTCGGAAAAAGATGTTTAAAGCAAAACCTGCAAAGCTTGAAAAATTGAGGATTCAGAATTCGCGTGGCCGCTGCAGGAGGCTCTTTTTGGCTGCTATAAGCAAAGGTTATGTGGTGGTGTGAGACAAAAGGTGGAGGTAGAGGTGGTAGTGGTGTGGAGGTGTTGGACAGTGGTGTTATGTGTCTGGTGGAGTGGAGTTTGTGGACCAGGCCAGTCCTTTGACAATGGCATGGTCCGGGTGGATCACCCAGCAGCGGCCCTTCTGGTGGAAGACTGCGCCGTGGTAATCATTGAGGAGGTTCATGGCATGTTCTTCACCTCCGGAGGTATATTTTGTGGCGGCACCCCAAGCAAGGAGTGTGATGATCAGGGAATGGGAGTTCTTGTGGAGTTGCCAGGTGTTGTGGATGATGCGGGCAAATTCGTTGTGATCATGGGGTTGATTGTGGGTGATGCGGACACCCTGGGCAAAAAATCCAGGGTAGTTGGCAAAGTGAAGTGTGCTGGGTAAAAATCGACCTTGGCGTAGAATGTTGGCAATGTTGCCGACGGGGCCTGTATGGCCTGCGTTGATGTGGGCGACTTCCCGGTGGGTTGATGTGGCTCGGGAAACCGCGGGCGGTTCTGGTGTGGTGGCTTTTGTGTTGAGGAAAGGAAGCGAAATGGCGTAGTATTGGAATTGGTCGTATTGGTGAGTTGTGTCGTTCCACCTGGCGTGAGTATATTGCCGGAAATCGGTGATCTCCTTGTAGGTGATGTTGCAGTCTGTGAGGAGATTGGCAATGTACTGGTGCTGTGGTCGGTTGGGGTTGTCGAGTTGGGTGGCGTGGAATTCAAGCCATTCCAGGAGTTGGTCTGCAGGTGAAAAGGTGTGAAAGTTGGGTGGAGGTCGCCAACGGTTGATTGGGCGACGAAGGACGGCTGTGGTGGGAAATTGAGAGGGGTCTGGGTTGGTGTGTTCAGTGTTGGGGCGTAAATCGATGGGTTGTGGTGGTGAGCGACTGCGGGATGGTGTAAGGCTGAATGTGTAAGTGGATGTCGAGGGTGAACGGCGTCGCCGGGTTGCGCTGTGGTGCTTGGAGTGGTGGTGATGTCGATGTCGGCGGCGGTGGTGGTGGCGTCCTCGGCGGTGATGGTCGGACTTGCGTCGGCTCTTGTGGTGGTGGCGGCGACTGCTGTGTGGTGGCTGTGGGGAAGGTGGTTGTGGTGCTGGTGAGGCGGTGGTGTCAAGCTTGTCCGTTGCAGGTAGTGAAGGTCCAGGAGCTGGTGTGGCTGATGTAAGGGATGGTGATGCGGAAGGTTGGGATGCAGTAGCTGGAGGGGTCGTGCTTTGGACCGGCAATGGAGGGTCCGTGGCGGTTGTGGGGATGTGTTGGATTGGTGGTGTTGGGTCTGATGGCGTCTGTTGTGGGAGTGGAGGCTGGACTGGTGGTGAAGCGCTGATGGTTTGTGGAGGGGGCGGCGGGGGCAATGGTTGGGGTGGAGGTTGTGTGACTGGGGGAAAGGCTGAGTAGGGTTGCCAAACGCCCTGGGGGATGGCGCATTGTGGGTCTGTGGATGGGTGATTGGCAACCGCGGTCTGTTGCTGTGTTGGAAGGGGGTGTGTCAGTGTAGTGGGGGGAGGAAGTTCAGCCGGTGGTGTGGGATGTAGTGGTGGCAACAGGTAGGAAGGGGGAGGTGCTGCTGACGGAAATACTGGAGTTGGATGTGTGGGCTGCGGTGGCAGGTGAGATGGTTGCACAAACGTCCAAGTGGACGGTGTGCCGTAGGTCAGTGCAGTGGCGGTCGGACTGGACAAAAAAGGTGGTGGTTGAAATGGTTGTGGTTGTGGGTGAGGGTATGCCGATGGTTGTGGCGAGGGAAAGGTGGGTGCAGTTGACGGCTGTGGCAGCGGCCATGTGGGTTGAGGTTGTGTGGTAGGTAGTGGTGGTGGCGTGGCGTGAGCGTATGGCCACGGAAAATGCATGTCGTAGTCGTAGCTATGGCACGGCGCGGCGCAGCAGCAAAAATGCAGCGGAAAAGTGCCGAGTTGTATTGTCATGATGTTGTTGAAAGTCTCATCTCTGGTGTTGATGGAGAGTATGTTGTAAGGTGGTGCTAGAGGTGAGCTTGTTGGCAGGTGTGTGTTCATGCATCTCGAATTAGATTGAAGAGCTCTAATGCCCAAACTTGAGTTCTGCTGAGGAAAAAGTCACGGCATTGATATGGCAAAACGTGGAAAAAACAAACATGACTTGGAGAAGTGAACATGACGGATCCGAAATCTGAAAGCTGATATCCGATGTATTCTGCAAGAACCGTTTTTTGGCCCGGCGGCCAGTATGTCAGTTGATTCGGTGAGGGTGTCGGTGACTTCCTGTGAGAGTCCAGTGAGTGGTGGTGCGTTGTGGTGGTTGCTTTCCCATGCAAAATCGGCGCCCCTGTGACGGGGATCACACTCAGCACCCGAGTGGGACGGCTGAGCGGGACACACTCTGACACTGGTTTTCAGTTAAACTCAATTTCTCCGATGGGAAGGAAGGTGATGGAACTGCATGGTGGAGAGTCTGAAAGACTTGTAGGTGTTTCAACAAGTTGTTGGTCAGTCTGCAGAACGATCGATCGGCGCGGCTCAGCTGCAAGACAACGCGGCTGCAAGAAAAGGTTTGGGGGGAGGTATCATGCAAGGACCATGAAAACAAACCAGAAGAAAATTGGTGTCACAGCTTGCAATCAAGGCAGGTACACAGATTGGCGTCCCAATCTGCTTCACGGAATGTCCACAGCTGTCTTCGTTGGCAGCAGAACTGTGGATTCCCTGCTGCCCCCTGCCTGTGAGGAAAAGTGTTGGAAGACCCTTTGTCCAGGGGTGGACACACACACACACACCCACACGCACACGCACACGCGCACGCGCACACGCACACACACACCGCTTCCGAGCCCATCGACCTTCTCGAGAAAGCTTGGCCTGAACAACCAGGGATGTGCCCACAAAATGCAAAACCTTCGTTTTCATACTAAAGGGCCAAAGGTGATGCCATCAATATGTCATTGCAAAACCAACATCATGGGACCAAAATGCCTTCAGGAAGAAATGCATGGAGCAAGCCTTAGTTCCAGCGATGTCAGTCGCAATGCATTGAGCATGGTTCTTGATTGAGCCTCTTTCTTTCTGCTGTGGGGCAGTCTAGCCGAAATCCCCTTGCGACCTGGTTTGTAGCTGGGCGTGTGGCCCAGTTCCGCGGGCATGCAGGCGACACCAATGCCTGCAAGTGAAGTTGTGTTACTGTTTCGGTGTCATGGCGTTTGGGTGGGCAGCTTTTAGCGTGCACATGCAACACAAGCCTACTCACCTACTCAATTGCCCGCATGCCACCAAAAGGCAAAGCACTCGGTCCGACTTAACATACAGCTCATGTCTGCATTTGCTTCGCGAGCGGGGGCCACTGAAGTTGCACACACTCCTTCACGTGAGACGCAAAGAAATGAAACGATCTTGATAGGGCCTACTTTTGTAGTGGAAGTGGCACCCCAGGAGGCACTGATGGTGGAAGCTGCGAGGGCTGTGCCACGTCCGCATGCACTGCCTCCTTGTGTGACTCCTTGGTCTCTTTCTCCAGAAAATCTAGGAAAGCATTGCTCAAAGGTTCGGCTAAACGTGCTTCAGCTGCGGCGGCTGCAGCCTTGACCTGGCTTCTCTGTGTCTCTTCAGGGGCCCCACCTAAAATGTGGAGTACTTGCGTCAATACCAAGTCAGCCAAACCTCTCTGTCCTGAAGAAACATGATCATGATAAAGGGCCAGCATGGATGTGACAAGCCTCCGGTCCACCAAATGCTCCTGGTCTTCAAGTCTCTTTGACTTTTCTTCCAGCAGGATTTCAAGGGCCGCATTTGTTTCACTCAGCTCCCTTTCTGCATTCTGGCATCTGACAAGCAAATGCTCATAGCGCTGGGTCTCCTCCTTCTCTCTGTCACCTGGTGCTTGTGCAGGTGAAGCACCTTCCAGCGACACAGCTTGCACCTTGGCCGCCTTGGCTGCTTCCAAGTCATGTTCTAACTGCACACACTTGGTCATCAATGTGCTCTGATCATCTACCACTTCCTGAAGCCTCTCCATGGCTTGCGTTGAGGCAAGAAGCTCTGCGTCCTTCTGCGCCAGCTTCTGCAAGAGCTCCTGGTGTTGTTCCAAGTCAAGGCCTTGGTGTCTCAATGCCTTAATCCTCTCTTTCAATTCGGCATTTTCCGAAGACAGCTCCTCCAAGCGTGCAATTGCAGCTCCATGAGCGCTTTTCCAAGATGAAGCTTGTTGAGCTGACTGTGCTAATGCTGCATTGGCACCCGATAACTCACGAGCTTTGCCCTGCAAAGCAGCATGTTCACTCAAAAGCGTCTCGTATCGATCACTGAACGATGTCAAAAGCCGCTGAGTCTCACTCGGTGTGCCATTCGTGTCTAGTGCCGTCACCAATGGCAAAAGCTGTCTCAACGTCCAGCATGACAAGGTTGCAATGTCTGGCACAGACAACTGGGACTGCCATTTCTCACTTTTCTCTGCATTGATGTTTAGTTTGCTCAAGACCTTGTCCAACAAAGGGCTTTGTTGGACAGCCTGGAACTCCATCTTTGCAGACTCATCTTTGGTGGATGTCTCTGTCTGTGGAGGCCCAAGCTGAGGTTCTCGTGGGGGAACTGGCATGAGCTCAGGCGCTTGCGGCTCCTCCTCCTCCTCGTCATCATCCCCAACTGCATCCACAAGTGCATCCTTTAGCTCCCCAAGAGTTGATTGGGCGAATGCTTTGAGTGAATGCATTGCATTGCAGTCCGCATGCTAGAAGCAATGGGGCAACAGGCAAAGTACGTGAGAGAATCAAACTTCAGCATGGCAAACTTACGTTGAACCGCTCATGAATGGACAACTACAATGTGACCTGAACCACACCAGCAGTGAAGTAATTGAACTGATATGACAAGTATTGATGAAGCCCAAACTGACAGCTTGACGCAAAGCTGCTTTAGCCCAAACGCAGCACTCTGCGACTGGTGCTTCAAGCCGGCTGAAGTGTTAAACTGTTATGAGTCATGAGATGAAAGCAGGCAAAGAAGCGAAGAAACCCTACGGCCTTTTGGCAAACACCTGACACATGAAACTTCGCTTTTGCCGACCAACGGCGTGAAACTTCAACTACGCCTGATGCCCATCACGTGCCGCTCGGTTCCATCAGTGATGACCTTGATCTCGAAATTTACACGCTCCGCATCTATCTGCTGGATGTGGGGCACCGCTTGAAGAATGGCCTCCTGATAGCGCTGCTCAGCCTCCTTGTTTCCTAAATCCTGCATTGGATTGCGCTCCAAATAGATGGTTTTCAAGGATGGGAATGCTGACAAGTTAGCTATTTGCCCCAAATCTTCGATCTTGTTGTCATTCATCCACAGCTCCTCAAGCTTCCGGAGCTCAGGAATTGGCTTGATTTGAGTGATTGCATTCCTGACAAGGTCAACCTCAACCAAACCGGCCAATAGTGCAAACTCTTCAGGAAGGTCGGGCAGGTTGTTGTGCCCTAAATACAGGTGTGTGAGCCCGGAGAGATTCTGGAAGAAAGCTGGCTCCCACACTTCCAGGCGATTGTTCTGAAGGCTCAAATGTCTAAGTGCTGGCAATGGTGGTATTGTCATTGATATAATCTTGTTTTTCCCCAGCCACAATTCTTCCAAGTGAACCAAAGAAGCAATTTCTGGAGGCACAGCACGAATTCTATTCGACCCCAGTTCAAGCATCTTCAGGTTGGTGAATTGCCAGATGCCCTCAATGTCTGTGATCTTGTTACTGGACAAATATAATCTCTCCAGCCGGGGGAAGCTGCAGGCTGCCAGCGTCTCCATGCTGCGGATTTTGTTGAATGACAAGTCCAGTACCATAAGGTTGTGCAAGTGCGAGATGTTCTCAATCTTCTTCAACAGGTTCTGATACAGCCTGCTGCACACAAAGGTTGCAAAACTCACTGTCCCCACTCTGGTATGGCTGTGCCTGTTCAGTGGGGAGGGAAGAGGAGAAAAAAAGAAGGCTGACGAGGCACTCCAAGTGTTCCAAGTTCACATTGGTCTCAAGGTTTTCAATCTTCTCGACACAGTTTGCCACCAAGCCTTAACCCACAGGAGTTGTGAGAAAACACATGCTGATCCTGCAATGCGCTGTCTGTTTGGCAATCCTTTCTCCCCAGAAGAGAAGCTTTAGGGGTCTTCAGCCATAGTATAGACTTCGGAGCAGGTCGGAGCAAGCTCCAGAGCGGGTTCCGGAGCAGGTTCCGGACCGGTTCCGGAGGGGTTCCGCAGCAGGTTCCGGAGGAGGTTCCGAGGAGCAGGCGAAGGTTCCGGAGCAAGTTCCGGAGCAGGTTTGGAGGAGGTTCTGGAGGAGGTTCCGGAGCGGATCCGGAGCAGGTTCCAGAGCAGTTTCAAACTTCTACTCGAACCATACAAGAACTTTTGTGACATTGTTTAGTTTGTATTTGTTTCCTTGGCGACCAAATGACGTTCCGCAGCATTGCAGCAATGATTGAGGTGATGTTGGTTGGTTTCCTGGAATCTTTGGACGGGAGCCCGCCGGGAAAAGGTAGGCTATGCGTCAGCATGAAGCTTGATGGTTGTGACATAGTTTTTCAGCACCCGCAAGATGTTTCTAGCTGTTGGGGATGTTGCTTGGGCTTATTACACTGGCTCTGCATCACACAGAGTATCCATGCAGGAACTTGTGGATGTGGATCACAACTGGTCGCATTTGGCCGCATTGTACAAAAGGCTCAAGCCAAGCACCCGAAATGCGGTAAGTTCTCTGCTACTGTTGAAAAAGTCCTCCCTGATTTGGCTTAAAGAGAATTGATGCCCAAAGGCATTTACAGAGCTTAGAGGTTCCCAGACTTTCAACCTTATCCTGGAACGCCTGTTTTGGGAAGGGAACAGGGGCCCGCATCAAAGGACGCTTCAATAAGGCAGTTCCGACTTATAGGGCGTATATATATATACATATGATTACATATGCATATATCTATATATATATACACATATGTGCGGCACAAGGGGGTAGCGCGATATCTTCAAGGTCTTGTTGCGTGAGGTTGCTGCCACTGCGGACCCTCTCATGGCGAGCTGGTTGTGCGGCCTGCCACTGAGATGTTCACAACTTATTGTCATTGCTGCGACAGGTTGGCGATGTCTGGAAGGATTCAACAATTTCTGTAGTGCATTGTGGGGTTTGCACTAGACTTCTTTTCAGTGGCACTTACATTGGGGCTGGCAAGTCGCAGTTTGACACCACATTGCCACGGTTGTGCAAGTCCCGAGCAAAGCACAAAAAGCGGCGCAGAGTTCTAGAGAAAGGGAAGGCGGAAGTAAACGAAAGATTATGGAAGTCGAGAGTTCTAAAGAATTGGAGATGTCTACAACGGCCGTGGAAATTTCAAAGCGAAGAGCACAGAAAAACACTGAACATCACCAAACAAACACCTCACTAGACCACAAAAATCGTGAAACATTGCATCAGCAACACGACGACCTCACAGCATCACCCATCACACTGAATCACTTCACATGTCACAACATCATGTTGCACTTCACGGTGTTTCCCTTTTACAGTGTATCGGACTGAAGAGGGCTAAATATTCATTGCGTTACTGGATTCCAGGAGTTTAGCCATTCGTAGGCCGCGCAAACCGTTGACCCACTTGGACCCGAGGCACACAGCTTCCGAAGCTTCCTTAGCAACCGATTCACGTGGGCTGTGTCACTCACCACAAATGTCGCGACCACGCGACAGCCAAGGAAAGAACTGAGTTGTCCTAATTAAAAGCCAAAGCTCGGACCCACAACCTCGAGGCTCTCCAGTTTCCTCAGCTTTTAGGCACTCAAAGAACTGTCCAAGGTGAAAGGCAATCAAATTCCAATGACAAGCAGCTCCCAATTCAGCCTGAGAATCTTGATTCGGGCACACTGATGAAGAACTTCATCGTCGTCCGGGTCGACGGGATAGTCAACACCAAGTCTGTAGTAGGTTGGACCCTCATCTTCATGGTGTTCCGGCAGCTGAACTCGTGCTCTGCGCGCACTCGGTCCTGCAGGGGGAGGCGGAGGTGGTATGTCCTCCATAGCTTCTGGCGGAGCCTCAGCCCCAGATTCATCAACATCCATGGCGCTCATCGCAGCCACACCGATCGGCTAAAGGGCCAAACGGATCCGTCGGTTTCCCGAAAGGTGGGCACTGGCACTGTACTAGTTGCTAGTTGCATGAGCGGAACAGAGCCTGACTGCGTGGCTTGCAGGGTTTCATTGCATACAATGCCAACAAGTGAGATACAGGCAATCAATGCATTCTACAAGCTGTTGGCCTACTCCAGGATCTGGAGATCCAGGAGAGAAGGGTGCCGCTGTTGGTGCACCAGGCGCATTTGCCATATGCATAGCTCTCACCTGGCAAAAGAGATTGGAAAAAGTCCGTGTGGAAAGTAATAGTCTGAGCTCTGGACTACCGCTTGCTGCCCAGCTGCTCCGGCCTGGACAAACTCACAACATTTCTGTTTTTTCCTTATTATGGAATTTGGCCTGCTGTCGTTATTCCCTATGGGTCTCACAATTCCTCATGCAGCTTGAGCTTGCCGCTGCAGAAGCTGCCATCTCAGCATACTTTGCCGCATTCATCGCGCGCTCAGATGCCGCCTCACAAGCATCCAACTTTGCTTGTACTTGCTGCTTCCCTTGCAGAATTGGTTTGTGGAGCTGACTGAGGCTTGACGGATCAAATTCAAGAGGTCCTGAAAAGCTTCGGTTGCACTTCAGCGGCATGTTTCCCGCATGCCAACCGTTCTGTGTCCTCAAACTGCCCTGGAGGGACATAGCCCTGACCTAAAAAGTACAAACACATCACCTGCGCAAGATGAGGTCTTGCACGCCCAGACTCATCAATCCACCATAGCTTGCCGTTGTAGGATTTGCAAACCTGGAGCAAGGAGGAAGGCGACGCCACGTATGTCTTTGGTGGCATCTAAGGCTTCAGCGATGTGGCAAAATGATTTTGTCCTGAGCTTCTGGGAAGGTTCTCACAGCTCAAAGGGCATGGCTTCTGAGCTTTCGACGAAGGAGTCCATGCATTGCTGCCTTATCAATGATCTCACAACCCCCGAAACAAACTAGTAGGAGAAATAGAAGAAAAGAGACAAGAGTGGGCAGTGTTCCAAAAACACCCCTCAAAGCTAAGGCCGCAGCTTTGCAAATTCAGCTTGAAGAAAACCACACACCACTGAACTTATGTGTTGCATATACCTACATACATACATACATACATACATACATACATACATACATACACATATGTGTGTGTGTATTTTATTTAAATGTGTGTGAACCAATTGCCTCAAGCTCTGCGTTGATTGTCATCAAACGCTAACTTGAGACGTAGAATGGTTTGTTTGTGTTTTTGTTTCCGAACGTCCTTCTCAAAGCCAAACTGGCTTCAAACGTACAATCAAATTCAGCACTATGTGATGCCACAGTGTGACTTTCAATGCCAGTCAAGAAAGAAAACAACTCGGCCAAGAGGCTGCAAGCCGGCTTCTTGACCTCTGTTGTTCATGTCGGGCAGCGGCTTGTCAGCCGGAAATCACACGACCAGCAGTGCAGACATGGCACCACTCAGGTGAACCGCTTCGGAGAGGAAGGGCCTTGCCGTTGAAAAAATGTGTCGCAAGAATGCACTCTTGATGAACACGAAGGCATCAAACCGAATGGCAAAGAAACCTATTGCATTTCAAATGCAGGGTCCGCCTCCACAGCCGCAGCCTTGCCAACTCCTAGGTGGCTTTGCAACCTGGCCGCCTTTTCCAGACTTGCCGACTCGCTGCTCTTCACCTCACATGCGGCAGCCCATTGAAAGTCTAGTCAATGCGATAGGGCTTGGGCACATGACCACCTCTGAACTGTGGAGGTTGCTGAGCCGCATGCCCAAGCTGAATCCAGACTTTTTTCTCCCCTGTCGGGAAACAATTCTGGCAGTTGTGAGTGTGCCACCTCAAAGTCATAGGTTTTTCTAGCAGGGACAAAGGCCCATTGTGGATAGTTGTGAATGGGCCAATGAAGGGGAAAGCGGAGGTTGCTCACCTCCTTGTACCTGCTCACGGTTGTGCCCTCTGTACTTACCTCCTCCTCCTCCTCTTCCTCCTCTAGTTCGACCAGGCCGTTTCAGGCAGTGCAGGTCTGCAATCACGCATTGTTCAGCTCGTCGGAATGTTGACTTTTGGAACTTTGGGCCTTTGAAACTCTGGGGTGGACCCTGCTGCATGTTCATATCCGTCCATTGTCCATTTAGGCCTGTTGGTTACTTAGGCATCTTCAGGGTTTGTGGCATAATTCAGGGCTTAAATACTTTATCTTGAGTGTGTGTGTGTGTGTAACCCTTGGAATCACAGGGATCCTTTCGGATTGTTTGGTTTTGGTTTTGCTTCCACTTTTACAGCAGGGGGGTTTTTGGTTTTGC